TCAAGTGAAGCCATCATAGTGAAAAAAGCCTATTACGTTTACATGTACTATGTAGGTAACATAATTATGGCAAGCTCATTAGCAGCAGTAATGCAATTGATTAAGCCTCGACTAGCATAAATTAAGTGCAATTAGCATAATTTATTTATGGCTAGAAACTAGATACTATTTGATTGTTGTTGATTTGGCCATTTTTTGAATCAATTTGATTCCAACTTTTTCCGGCTAGAGACAAAGGAATACTTCCAGGTTTTGGTTAAAATTTATCTAACTCATTTTTTTTTCAGTGCTCTTTTTGCTAGCTAAAATTTCACCATCGAGTGGGAATCCAACAAAAACATTAGGAAATTTTGCTTTAAGGTTAAGGTGTTATCTCAGTATTATTATTCATGTTAGATTTATCACAGAAATAATTATTAATATTATATTACTGTGGAAGGTGATCACTGGTCTGCTTGTTATCAAAAACATTCATTTTAGTTGAAATCTAGAAAAAAATCTCTTGCTGATTTTTTTTGGAATGGAAGACACAAAAAAATTTTGGAATAGTTTTCAACATAATAATTCAAGGTTTTTACAGACAATCGATTCCCATCACACGGAGGGAAATTTTGCAGTAGGTTTCAACGTAATAATTCAAGGGTTTTTTTTGGACCATTGATTACCATCACATTCTGTTTAATTCTCCTCAGATATAATTATGTATGCCTTTATTTCTTGGTGTTACAAAGTTTCAAAAACATTTTTCGGTGAACTCTAGGTCTTTTTGTTTGCGCCTTGCTAGGTAGCCTAAGAATAAGTGCGATGCCACTGTTGGTGGCCCTGTGAAATGTCATCTGAGGAATGAGTGCAGAGATTCATACTGATGATGTGTCACTACCCTGATCTGGGTAGTGCTTCTGATTGGTTGAAGCAAGTTTCTCTTGCCGCACGACCAATCAGAATCACTACTCAGATCCGGGTAGTGGCACATCATCAATATGGAAGATTTGTGTTCGTTCCTGAGATGTCAGTTCACAGGGCAAACAGAGGGGGTATTGCAAATTTTTTTTTTTCTTAGCCAATATGGCTACAACTAGGAAATAAGTTTTCTACTAAATCTGTATATATATAATTTTTTATCTTCTGGGACTTGTATGTAACACCAAAAAGTACTGGCATATTATTTTTAAGTGCTAGTGAGCTTGCATTAGTTTTGAAATACTTTTTTTAAGTTCTTATTTAATTTCAGACCTCAGGTGGCACACGCACAAGATTAGGAGCCCATCACTTGGGCAAGGTCATATTCAAATCTAGCCAACCTCGTCCCTGCTGGGCTGTGGAAGCTCTGCCTCTGAGAAGGTGTGAATTCTGATGTCCTCTGAGATATTCCAACTGAGAAATCCTGGAAAACTTTATGTGATCCCGTAATTCATGCTGGGGCAGTTGGACACTTGGAAGATTTGGCCGTTTGTTCCCAGGTGGGGAGGACAGCGTGGAGGAAGGTGAGAGTTTGCTTCTCATGTTCTTAGGGTTTCATTCATTTTGTTATAATACCACACCTTTTTCCAAAAAAATAATTAAATAACCATTTCGATCAAGAAAGTTGCTTGTCTGCAAACAATGTGTCTGGGAATGTTTCACTGTTGAGGATGAAAAACGGGGGTGCAAGAACGTGCTCCCCGGCTCACGTAGTAGGTGTGTCGACGGATGATACGAGGGCAGAGAACTGAGCACTGAATCGCATTGGTCTGGCTTGGGTGGATTTTCGCAGATGCCATCAAATTGAGCTGATAGTCACTAAGAATCTCTCTAATGGGGGGCAACTGGTTAAGGATTTCTCTTCTAAACCTAAACCTGTTGATGTCTAACAATATATAGCTTTCGAAAGTATGCACAAAAACAAAAGTAGCATATAAACCATTTCCATAATTGCCAAATTTTCTACTGATATTTCTTCACTACCTTAACATTTAACTAAAACCGTAAACACGAAACAACGATCACAAATAGGTCCAAATTTATTTCATTTTCATTTTTTTCCTACCTGATTAGCTGAAAATTTAACTAAAAACCTAAAAACAAAGCAACGATCACAAATAGGTCCAAATTTATTTCATTTTCATCTTTTTCCTAACTCAGATTATAACAAATTTATCAGAACTAAGTTTAGATGACATCAACATCTGTTTTTTTTTTTTACCTGTTGTTTTTTGGTCAACTGAAAACAATAGGCAAAAAAGCGTAGCGGTTGATGTTAGACTAATAATATCATCTTTATATACTAAACCATTTTCGAAATAAGGAAAGACTTGATTAATCGAACAGCTGTGGTAATCTGCTCTATATTCTCATTTTTAAGTAGGACATAGAACAGATTTCCTTGGGCTGTGTGAAAAATCAGGTTAAATTGACCAAAAATTCGGATAGCCTTTAAATGTAAACAGCTAGAATAAACATTTTTGCTAAGTCTTAACTTTTCACGCTGTAAGACAATTTCTCGGTGGTGACTTCAATTGAT